CCTTGCCCCAATCTCGGTCACTGAGTTGGGGATGGTCACACTTGCCAGCGAGTTGCATCCTGCAAAGACTCCATCCCCAATCTGGGTCACTGAGCCCGGGATGGTCACACTAGCCAACGAGCTGCATTCCGTGAAGGCTGCTAACCCAATCTCCGTCACTGAGTCCGGGATGGTCACACTTGCCAGCGAGCTGCATCCTGCAAAGACTTCGTGCCCAATTCGTGTCACGGAGCCCGGGATGGTCACACTAGCCAACGAGCTGCATTCGTCAAAGGCACCAGAGCCAATCTCGGTCACTGAGTCCGGGATGGTCACACTTGCCAAGGAGCTGCATCTTGCAAAGGCTTCATACCCAATCTGTGTCACCGAGTCCCGGATGGTCACATTTGCCAACGAGCTGCAACATGCAAAGGCTTGAAACCCAATCTCGGTCACTGAGTCCGGGATGGTCACACTTGCCAAAGTCTCGCATCTTGTGAATGCTTGCGGAACGATTTCAGTGGCACCGCTTGGGATTTCAACCACAAACAAAGACTCCAAGTCAAATTCATCGGCAAACTGGTGAAACTCCCCGTCGTGGGAGCATGTCACAGCGTTTCGTTTCAAAATTACCGTCACGTCTGATTCTGGAGAAAGGCCTGCATCAGCAGCTGTCTCGTCGTTCGTCAGCAATCTCCTCGGCCCCACGATAATGTCGACCCGGGTTGTTTCACGCATGAGTTCATCATCCCAATGCTGGCAATCCTTGATCCGCTCCTTGAGTTCGCGACCAGTGATGTCTGGCATGATTTCAAGAACAATCGCTTCGCCATTCAGCTGCCGAAATGAAATCCGATGACTGGCCATGGCTCGATCTAGATAAATTCAATCACTCGAAATGAAACAAAAGAGGCATGGCATGATCCGCTTGATCCGAAACCCAGATCGACGATGGCACCGCACCGACCACACTGGCTGGGACCGCACCTTTCATCCACAAAGCTCAAACCTGTGGAGTACCGGTGATTCCTGGTGTCCGGGCTTTTGGGCGCCGGAAAAACCACCGGACACATCGACATCATCGACCACCACATCCAGTTGAAGGATCTGCCTCATTTCTGTCCAAGGATCCATGGCATCCTGTGCCAACTGCCAACTGGGCGGTACACCACTTGGAGCGGCTTCTCCCGTGTGGTTCCTGCAAGGGCCATACGGGGAAGGATTTCTGAGCACGAATCAGGTGGGCAAGAACAAGAAGAGAACTTCTCATAGCTCGCAAGAGAACTTCTCTTGGCGGTCTTGCAAGCCGGGAGTTCCGGGAAAGAACTATACCAAAACATGAAAAGACTGGACTACCTAAGGACATTCACTGATCTGTGAGTCGTGGCTGTGACACATGGACTCTTCTTGTCTCACATTCTTCAGCGTGTCTGTGAGGTGAAAAGAAGGGCTGGACTACCTCAGGAGGTCAACCTACCAAGGGTGCCAGGGGCTCCAGCTTTTGACCCGTCACATGCTGTTCTTTTCAGGAACAGTTCGGATTGCCGATCTTCACAGTGCATCAAAGCACGTAAAAAAAAGAAAAAAATGCTTCACAGTGGCAGCACTGTGGCTTCAACTACCAAACAGGGTGAATTAATTAACATAACAACCAAAGAAGCTGCTTGGAGTGCACTTTGAGAGATCACCACAACATGAGTTGGCTATCTGTGCACCCCAGCTATGGTTCTTCCATGTCAGTTTAAAAGCACTACCCAAAGATTGGCCAATGCACACCTCAAGTGCACCTATATATAGCCTAGCCACTAGCCTACCCTACATACCTTAAGAATGCTAATTTCATCTTCCATGTTTACTAATTCACTAAACTGCATGTCTCAACCCTGCATGAACTTACATACTCTCACAACATCCACGACTGTTTTTCGTGTACCAATAGGCGACCACCGTTTACTGCGTAGATGGTTTCCTTCGCCTTCCTGGTCAATCTACGGGTCAACGCTTTTGCAGCACCATAATGCATATCCCACTGTGAAGTTGGCAATCTTCCAGGTGTTTGCGGTCCCTACCAGTCTGAGGTCAGGGTCCGTGAGATCTCTCTTCCTGTCAAAGAAAAGTCCTTCAAAACAGCACTCCGTCTGACGATCAAACACCGTGCCGATTGTTCGAGCCGAGATCTCGCCGTTGTTCCCCACGCCGCACGATGACGTGCGCGTGCCGATTCCACCCTCATGCCGCTCTGAGCGTCCAGGAGATGAGCGCACCCGTCTGGCCCAGGTGGAGGAAAAGAACCTGCGGAGAAGTCTGCGCGTATGGGGAAGAGAAAACATGTTTTGTACGGGCGGGGGCTGCGCGGAGGCTGCGCGGAGGCTGGTGCGAGTGGAGTGGTTGGAAGTTTGGAAAAGTCGCGTGAGGAGATGTTGGGAGCGTCCTTTTTCTGACTTTTTTGGGGCTTCCAGGAATTCTTTGAATTAACACCTTCCAAGTGCCGCAGGAAGGACTTGAAATTGGACCGAGAGGGTCTGTATTTACTTTCATATACAGTGCATATTTTTTTGCTATTTTTGGGGGTCATACCAGAAGGCTAGTATAGGCATTAATGGGGATTACATAGAACAAAGCCATCTACAGCAGGCTTACCGATACATCCCCTGATCAGGTTCACTTCTCCTGATGTACAATTGCTACAGTTCATTTTTTATTTGTTCTGGGCTGCAGAAGTGAGAAAATCTTCTCGATGGAACCCATTTCTCTCTTTTGGCCGACAGCTTTTTTGACAAACATTGGCCGCGTGACCACCTAACAGTATTGAAAGCATTTGAGAAGGAATAGGATGCTACAGAATGAGTTCACCGTGAGCGAATGATTGAACAAAGGAACTTAAGAAATAACAAGTGAACTAAAAAATAACTCTTTGCTATGCTCTCCAAATCCCACTTCAACAGCTGCACACCAAGTTTCTTGGGCAGTTTATGTGCTTTGACATTTGCAGCTTTGGTAAACCTTTCTTGTTCACTCCTCCCCTACTTCTTCTACTCAAATTAACTCATTACCAACATATAAATGCCAGTGCAAATTTATGCACTCTATACTTTATATACTTCATGGCATGGGTATTTTGTATTATAACGTATCGCTGGGACGGGGATTCTCTTCAGTGCCTTCTGACCGCTGATGGGATGCCGGTGCACCAAAGGATGCACCGCACCGCTGTAGGCATTCACCTCGGTTGAGCCGCTTGAGCGAGCGCTAGGCGTGCACCCCTGAGGTTGGGCGAAGTAGCAAAGAGGTATCGTTTTCATCCGCTTAGGGAAGACGTCTCTTCACACGACTGACAGGTGGGATCTGGGACAGGTAGATTCCGTGTTGGTCTTCATCCGTCAATGCAGCTCAAATTCACTGCATCCCAAGGTCTTCCAGTTCAAAACATGTCGCGCCACAAACATGTTTGGGATCGCCAAGTCTAGAAACACAGCCAGGCCATCCCTTGGGACTCAAAGCTCGACCTGCTTGGTTTTGCTCATACACGTTCATCCCTCTCCAGCTTGGGGCAATGGACCATTTCCTGCTTCTGTGCTCGTCCCAAAACCCTGTAGATGCCCTAAGCCCATGAGTTCTCTTGCGAGGGAAATACCGTGGAGATCGGCTCTGCGTGGCTTCAGGGTCCACAAGGCAGAACAGCTATAGAAACAAACGTGTTAACACGTCGTATAGTGCCTCACCACAACTGACGTCGCTCAAAAAA